TATCCCTTTCAATTGCAAATTCTTCGCTAGTTTTATCTATATCTGGTACAATCAGTGGAGTTCCTGAACCTAAAGAACAACAAAAAGGCAATGAGCTTTACATAAGAAGTAATGCAATATGCTCTATGCTTAGTCAATCTAAAGCAGAAACGGGTAGCTTCTCCCCAAATCATTCCCAATCATCAGGTACTAATATTAAGAAGAGTAGCCAAGTGTCCAACATTTTATTTGCCTGGTAAAGCAAAATTTACCACAAATAAACTATCATAATTAGGACATCAAGTTAGTGGCTCACTAATACATGTAACAAATCCGTATGCTATCATTTTTTTTCCTTACACCAAGAGCCTAATCATGCTACTAAAGTAGCTCATCATTATATTCCAAATTTTCAAATACTCCAGCATACATATCAAAGAGAGTCTAGGCGTATTAATTAGAGAAAAATATTCAAATCTAGACAAGGAGATAATTTCTCAAGGCTAATCAACTTTTTTGAACTATAGACATATAAAGAGATGGTATTTTAGTTCTTTATTATAAAACAGTCAAATATTATAAACATAAAGTCAGAAAAAGAGTACATTACAATATCACAAGTATTTAAAATCAGTAAAAGAAGTACAAATTTTGGTGCAGATATCTAGTGGAGTGAGGATTTATGACAAATTTTGGTCCCAATTTGATGCAATGTTGTTGCAATCGTATACTAAACTACATTTGATTAGTCTTCTACGTGATTCACTTTGTTGACAGTAAAGGAACCTCTGTAACCCAATTAATTTTAAAGTGATTGATAATGTATTCTCATATAGATCACATTTAGGGAACAACAACAAAGAATGTCTACCAGTTCAATAAACCAAAATTTTATGTGTTCAAACTTAAGGCATAAAAAGGCCTCCCTTTCACTTCAATTTTCACTTTGCAATTAAATAGGTTCAAAACAAACCAGGTTTGGTGGAGACAGTATATAACACACTAGTGCAAACATGATCATATCCCAAAAATAGTAAGTCATGCCAACTAACATAAGATAAATTGACATCAAAACCAATTGATCAGCAAATATTCCACATTCCATGTATATTCAAAATTGGTTTGAAACACAAAAGAAGAACAAACATTCGGCCAATTCAATAGAATTCAAAAAAAAGAAATTTTAAAAAGGAACTATCTTGCAAAGGTCCTTATAACATGCCTCAGGTTAAACAATTCTGCTGTTTCTGCTGATAATATCTCTCTATTTCTCACTCTCCTTATAATTCTTCATATTCTGAAAGAGTTCAATTCGATGACTAACCGACAACAACCTAAAGCAAACACAATTACATGAAGTTCTGCTTAGATTAAATAGAATTCAACAACTCAAATATTCTCGTAAAATCCTACCTTTCCATCCAAAATCATAACCATATGTGAATATTGAGATCAAAACTTCAAATTCATTTTAATACAAAAGATATGAAAGGGAAAAATAAAATCAGTATTACCTATGGTAGGAAAGAGACCTTCGAAGGTATCTGGAGTAAAACTGAGCAAAGAACTACTTTTTTCTACTCCAGAATCCCCAATCAACAATAACTTGAACAAATAATCAATTCTTACAAGGAGGACGACGAAGACGATACCATCTCCACGAAGTTTAGTTGGAACATCCATGAAAAAAACAACGGATTAGGCAACCTGAAAAATAAGAAAAGATTAGGACCAAGTGAAATTCAGTGAGCATAAATAAGATTAGATATCATTTAAGATTTCATGATGCAGTAACTATTTCCCTATTGAATGGCAAAAACAGAATCAAAACAAATCATAATAAAAAGAGAACTACACCAAAACAAACCTTTTGGAGAATAAAATAATTCAGGAACTACGGAGAGCCCCAGCAAAAAAGTCTTTCTGATTGTCCTTGGCATTTGATATAGTTTGGTGTCCTCTTTTTGCGCGGAGAGCTCTCAACAAAAACAAATAGCAAAAATTATGCAATTCTGGTTTCTACCTTATTAGAAAGTTCTGAAATGTAAACACCAACAAAAATCAACAAAAAAAAAAGAAGAAAAAAAAATTAGGAGTAGACTCCAAGGAAAAAGAAGCAGAAGCAATAGTACAAAAAAACCGGACTTTTTTTTTTCGGTGAGTGAGTTGGTGGGACAATCCACGGTAGTGGGGAGAGAAGAGGAAAAAACCCTATGGAAAATCTGGGGTGAGCGACTCTTCGCAGCAATAGAATTAGAGCACAAATAGAAAGAAAAAGAAAAAGTAGAAAAAGTAGTGTATATAGAACAATGTTCAAATCTTGTCTAGCACCACGATCTATGATCGATCAAGATTAGAGCCCCTTCCTCTTTTCGTTACTGCTCTTTATCTTCGTCCCCGATAGTCTCATCGGTGAAGGTTGCAAAATCGAATCTATGGACTCAATCGACAAACGTTTCGATGGTAAATTTCAACAACTCTGCACGGAGGTTATGGTGATTAGTGGCGGCAATTCAATTTTGAAGGTGGTCTTTAGTGGCAGTTTGATTTTTAGCCGCAGCTATAGTTTTAGTCGCGGCGGAGGAACTGCGGTTCCAATTCGTGTCTGTAACAATTTTTATGTAATACTTCGGTCCCAAAAAATGGTGGGAGTATCAGCGTAAATAGAGGTCTTAAAAAAGAGGGAGGAGGCTAAAAAACAAGAAGGAAAAAGGGAAAGATGAAGTGCAAGTATAATCTGTGGTCATTTTGTTTCGGAGATTCAACAAAATTTCTTTTTAAAAAGAAACATTGATACAAAACATCGTCGTTTTCAATGCTGAGAATAAAATAAGGGTATAAAACGACGTTGTTTTGATATATGGGGATTTTTTTTATCAAAAATTCAGATTTTTTCTCATTCATTAATTTGAAATTGAATTTATGCATTCTCCTTTTTACCCCTAATAAGTCGCTGACGTCATATCAAGGTCATCCGACGGACGAGATCAATTTGAAGGTGGCCCTGAATATTTCTTGAGCATTTAATTTCTTGCCTACTGTGCCTTTATATTAAGTATAAGGATAAGACATTTTGATTTTTTGTAAATTTTATTTATTGTGTTAATTTTGATTGCAAATAAAAACTTAAAAATACATCTTCATTTATAGGTTAATGTTACTCTCTCCGGTCTTATCTATAAGCCACAGATTAACATTAAAATTAGTTTAAAAATTTTATGTCTCATAATACCGAGGTAGTCTTGTATGGACAACCTCTCATTTTGTATTTTTGTTTCATTTTCTCTCTTAAACACAAAACCCAATACATTATCCAAATAACATTTTAACTTATCTTCTACAAATATTTTAAATTTATTTTTACACAATTTTCGTCCGCCGCAGCAGCCGGTGGTCCAGGTGATCAGGTGGTGGTGTAAAAATATAATTATTTTATTTAAAATATTACCCAAACAACTTTTCACATTTACTCTTAAACCACATTTTAAATCATATCTCAAACTCAAACCAAAAACAAAAATAAACCATTGTCCACACAAGCCCGTATTTTTTGTGTTATCTAAAGATGCAGATGTCTCAAGATCAATAGACAAACTTATTAAAGTTGATATGGGCTTGATTGTTCTCAAAAGAAAAAGCCACTGATGGCCATGAAAGTTTAAGGGCCAAGTTTGGAGTTTCAACATTGTAACGGGCCTTCAAATCAGCTATCCGTTATTGAATCATAATCTTTTTCCCGCCACCATAAGGGTCGGTAAACTTTTGGCAAGGGCCTCCAATTCCTATTGCTCACATATTGACAAGACTTTAAAAAAAATAAATAAAAAAGTTTCGATCAAAATGATTGTTTTATTTGAAACAAAATTAACTATTCTCTCAGTCCTTAAAAAAAATAGTTATATCAAATTTTGAAATTTGTACAAATTTAAATTCAAAATTCAATGTGGACTAATTTTTTGAGACAATGGTACTATTTTGTGGTTAATGAGAGCAAACACTAATGAATCCTGATTAGATTGACATACAAACATAGAATTGCAAATTGCAGTTTTCTTGTACGTATAAAGGTATCTATACTTGTACTTAATTATGAAGATCATCTTCGTCATTTCCACTTTTTGAATGACAGTCGCATCTTTTAATCAGAATCTCTACATTATTCCAACTTTTCATCATCGAGTAAATCATGCTCCATTCCCACTTGTGCTCTTGAATTCCTCAAAGACTTGCAAAGTCAAGGTCACTAGGTTATAAGTGTAAACTGTAAACTAATGTTTGAAGAAGCCCTAGCTAAAAAAGGCTACTCATCAAAAAAAGCTCAAATGGAAAATTTACATTATGTCTTTTCTTAATCATCTTCAAGTAGCTTCAATCTTTGTACTCGGACGTTAGTCCGATGATTCAAAATGTCACGGGCTGTATTGTTAGTGAAAGAGGAGCTCTCATGGAGCTGAAGGGAAGTCTTGTTGATCATGCAAAATCGCTTGTCATTATTGACGGGCAACAACTGCTGCAAGCATTGGTATGGAATTACTTGCAACAATCTCACTGGTCACGTCAAGAAGCTCGATCTTCACAATGCCATCCAACCTTATGATGATAGGGGCCCTTTGGAAGGAAATTTTGATCTCTATTTTGATAATTGTTTGGGAGGTGAGATCAGCCCTTCTAATCTATACTTGATTTGAAGCATTTACATTATTTTTGGACAATTCAAATTCCACCATTTTTAGGGCCCTTGCAAAATTTGAGATCCCTTAACCTTCCCTTTCAGGTGTCGGATTTAGTGATGAATTTTTCATTTCAATCTCACATCTCCTGTTTACCAATTATCTGGATTCTGTCTCACTCTTGAGGTTTTTCAATCTCACCAGCCAAAAAGCTTCATGTTCTTAAGCTTGATGATAGTAATCTCCAGGTCCCAATTCCTTTCGTGTTAGAAAAATTCACCTCTGTAACTGTTCCGTAATAATTTCCAAATGAGATAAGATACCACATCGTTCACTTCAGATTTCAGTGTACATTTGTACTTCACAACAGGGGAGGCTTTATTCGCTTCAAAATGGTGATACGACCAGCTTGTCTGTTATATAATTCAACCAGATCTAAAAACACAATGTCAACAAGTACAGTTGAATGCCCGCATTTGCAATACTACCAATAGCTCAATTAAGCGCATGTTTCTCTTCCCTAACCAAAGGGTCATAAGAGTATAAAACAAACTCTGATCATTGAATTTGGAGGTTAATACAAGCAAAATATAGATACAGCGACGGCAAGTTCCAGGAAATATATAATGACTTGTACTATCCTAAGCTGGGAAGTCGGTAAATTGGGCTATTTACAAAGGTGGCATGGTCTAATGCATGACCATGTGGGGCTAAATTAAGATAATATCGGTATGTATACTATGTATAAAGAAGGGAAGTCATATATATTGACTTCAAAGAAGGGTGCAAAATTTGCTAATAAAACTGCTGCATCTACATCAAGACTCCCTGCCATTAGGAAATGAACGACTATTATATGCATCTCCTTTCATCTGAAACGTCACCAGAACTCCAACCTTGGGTGATGGGGCTTCTCCGCAGATCCTGGGGGTTCCATAAACACAAATTAGCAAACCAAGAGAAACCTACAATACTGAGGAGGACCGTTTACATTCACTGTTCTTCTTCCAAACCTTTCATCCTAGATTTACCAAAGCTTCCCCAAAGTAATGAAATAATCAAATTATACTTGTGAATAGATTTTCTTCTCAGATTTATTCTTTTGTCATAAACTATTAGAGAGAGCAAATGCTATCAACATATCCCATTCACCGCCAAATTTCTAGGAGTGCCATGTAAGGAAGTACCTTCCCGAAGGATCAAGAATCATCAGGACTTGATGGTGCAGGATGCAGCAGATTCTTTACTTCTTTAGCATCCAAGGCTTCTGCTGCAACTAATGAATGGTCCTCGCCTTTGTTGTTCAGGGTACCGGGATTCATCTTTTGTACTTCCTCTCTGGTATAAATGAAGATCTTGCGAACCATGCCACAGAATTCCCTAATCACAAAGAAAGAAATGAAAAACAATATAAATGCTCGGGGCTAAACAAGTCCATAAAATTGCATGACTAAACTACAAATATTGGAAAAAGTTAAAGTGATAGACAGAAAACAAGATCGTACAGCCATGGATCATCCCCAACAAGCATCATATCACCCTCATCATCAGTATACACAACCAGCCAATTCTTACTCCTAGACTTCAACTCGCCATTGAAATCAAATAACTGATCAAGCTCAGCAATCAGCTCGTCATAGTTGTTGAACTTAGTAAGATCCACAGACCTTCCAAGTGCAATTCCCTGTTTATGAACCTGAAAGCACATTAATCTGCATTAAGCAATGCAGGGTGTGGTGAAATCACAAATGAAATGTAGTCAAATAAACAGGTGAAAACCTTTGTGCAGCTTCTACTTGAACCTGAATGGACCTTTGCATCCCTATCCCTAGCAACTGGATTGTATGTTGGACATTGTTTCTCTTGCTCAACAGCAGCATGTTCAACCACTCTTAAACCCTTCATCTGTTCAGACCTCTGATCAGGTTCAAAAACAGAGGAATGATGCCCATTCATCCCTACCAGACCCTGACCTGGGGAGTCAGTCACTCCATTCTTCTGAGATGACAGTGCAGGCTCCACTGATGAGGTAGAGTTGTTTCTAAGAGGAATTCCAAAAAGCTTGCAATTCCCTTCTTTAGGTTTTACAACCTCATGCTGCGGCAACATCACAGGTTTGTGAACCATTTCTCTGAGGTTGGGGTGAAACTGGAGATATGTAGGCATGGGCGGGGGCATTAACCAAGAAGATTGTTGATTATCCACTCTGTTACCGGAAAGGATGGGAAACTCGTTAAAACCACCATATCTAACATCCCCTCGGGTTTGATAGGACCTATCAGTGATTTGGCCATTTGATTTCACACACGTGTCCACCAAATTAAGTGATAAATTCGACGGCATTAAAGACCACGGGTTCCCAAAGAAATCATACTTCCCATCATGCTCTGGCAACATGCGTTTCCTTGGGTTACTAGAAACGGCATTTTGATCAGCAGAGTTCAGGCCGAACTCATTTGGGGGATTAATCTGAGACCCAAAACCTGACAACAAGTCTGTAAAAGAAGATTCAGGCCTTCCTAGAGGCAACCACTTGTCTGATCCACTTCTGCATGAAGCAGAAACGTCGATCTTGCCATCTTCAACAGATGATGGCCATACCACAGGCTTTTCAGAAGAATCCGATTCATTACTCTCTCCAACAGTGCTTCTCAAGGTCGATGGTTCTTGACCTTGCAAGACCCTTGACAACCCACTAACTGTTGAAGGGTCCATAGATATCTTAGATGAAACTGCACAAAACCACGATTTAAACCAGATCCAATTAATGCTCATCCATTAAGTAAATCCAAAATGCAAGTCCAAAGCAAAGCAGTGGCAGGCACATACCTTCTCTAGTAAGAACAGAAGAGTCAGGTGATGATGGCAAAACATTTGGTCGAGGTCTTTTCGGTCTAGGCACTGGCAGAGGATTGAGAGCTGGAGGAGAGAGAGCAGGTTCAATTTTCCATGGTGAAACCCTATCGGGCCGAGGAATCGTAGATGTTTCATCCCACCGTACCTGATCAGGGAAAGATTAAATTTCATGATCTCTAGTTAAAGGAAATATGTAGCTGAAAAAAAGAAAATATACCTTCAGACATCTCCATTTTGAATCTTGCCACCTCTTTGGATCAGCTTCCTCAATACCAACAATAGTTCCAGTAAACCTACAACATTTGTGTAGAATCCATTTCATTCAAAGCAACCATCGAGAGGCTCAGAACTTAAATACATCGTTGATAAAAATGCAGAGAAGCATGCAATAATACCTTTGTTCTGGTGCCTCTTCACCCTCAAATCTCATCTTGAACCTCATGCCAATAGAATAACTGTTTTTTACCGATTCCATGTACTGATCAACAGGAACAATGAACTCAGAAGGGCTTGTCCTGGAGACAACAAACAGGGAATCAATAAGATGCTTAAACAGCCATTTCCCAACAAATTCATTACTTGATATCTTAAAATTCAAGGTTATCCACGAACGTTACAGACCTAGGCTTGTAATAAACAGTAAACATTGTTTTGGTTTGAATGGCATGCCAAGCAGTAGCGAGTACACCAAGGTGCATGCTATGACTGGATATGACTGATGATGGAGCATTGCCTTGTTGCCTCATAGCTCGCCTTACTCCAACACGAAGCTCCCCATTTTCACCTCTGCATCCAAAGCCAAATCAATCAAGCTATAAATCAATGTTTAAAGGACCAGCGGCACTTTTAGAGGATAACACACCTCAGGAATATGAAAGCATCCCCTGCAACAAGCCTCTTTGAACTGACAAAAACACTCCAGCCACTCTGAAGTAGGTGCCTCCGTGGTTGGCCTGGAAATTGCAATATAATTTTTAATTAAATCCAGAAACAAGAAAATAAAAGAGACATTAAAAAAAATCCAAAACTTCATATTGCAAATGCCATAAGCTACAAGACAGGTTTTATAAGTATTGCATTGTATTAATAGAAGAAATTTGATGAGGTTATACCGCGAAAGATGTGCCTAAAGCGCCATTCATTTCCATGCAAGTCTTTGGCTACCAATTCCTGGGTTGGGGGCTGCCGAGACATGTCCTGTCAAAGACCAAAAGAAAATATTAATCCAATATCTAACACATTTCCCTCCATCCAAAATACTAATAGAAAAATACAGATAGAAGAAGTAAAGCCACAAATAAGATCCTCCTCACCAGTGGGGGAAGGCATTCATCAGCATGACGTCTCAGCACTGAAAACCCACCATGAGTACTAGTGTCGGAAGCAGTAAGTGTCTTACAGAAAGAATGCACATGAAACCTCGGTGGAGGAGGAGGGGCTGGTTCTTTGCTGACAGTATTCTCATCTTGCTGCATTGAACACACAATATTCAATATGGATCAACACGTGTAGTTCAAGGACCAGGTAAACATGGATATTTTTAGTGAAAAATAAACTCACATTAGGCTCAGGGACTAAGGTTACTTGCGCATACACCTCATCAGTATCAGGTTCAGCCTGTAAAAATGCATACGTTCAGACAAGAACAAGGTCCAATTTCAAACCCCAAAACAACAGAAACGTGAAAAAGCATCCTACAGCTGCTGGGCTGATTGGTCAATTTCACATACCTTCAATTGGACATTTATCACGCGGCAAAGGATCTTCCAAGGTAGATTATACAAGGGCATAGCCTGCTCTGCCACCTGATTGGTAGATGCTTCAACCTAATGAAAGGAAAACCCATGATAAGTCACACGCGTCCATAAATGCAAGGAACTCCTAAAAGAAAATCAGACCCGCGAAAAAATAAGAACAAAACATGAAACAATTTCCCCGCGAAATCTGAAAGTGGTGGCAGTGATGCAGTGCAGAACTAGGATAATAGCACAAATTATAAAGATTAACATGAAAAACTAGCAGAAAGACGAAACTGTTCCTGATTGAGGAGGAAATTTATGTACGAAATTGAGGAACAAACCTGTTCTATGTGGCCTTGAGGAAAATAGTAGACAAGCTCATTCTCGCGAGGTACGGTAACTAACGGCCCAGCACAAGCCCGCCAAAGCTCCCTGTACAGAGCGGCTTCAGCATCTACCGAACAGCAAACCAAAGCAGAAACGATAAGAATCAGACGCAAAAAATGACTAAAAAAACAAACAAATGCCCGGAAAAAACGGTACAAAAACACCCATAATCACCTTTTCCGGTACCGGAACCACCCTTGGCCACATCCGGCGGCCCTCTAGAACCATCACTAGCTTCACTGTATCCCTTGATCGACACCTCTGAAGCAGACATTTCCGAAATTTTCTTTTCCGTTCAACGCAGATCTCTCATCTCATAAACCCCAACGAAAAGAGGGGAAAAAAGTACTCCAAACACCAACAAAACCCGGAAACACACCAGTAAATTTTACCCAAAATACCAAAAAAAATATCAACCCAATAGCCTAAAGTCCTTAGCTCTTAAAACCCAGAAAAATATCTCCCTTCAACAACCCACCCAAATTCTCCAAAATCCCACAGAGAATTTTTTCACCTTTCCCAACACTTTAGCTCTTAATCACCACCAAAAGTTATCCCACACAGCAAATTCACCACACACAAAAATATATTAAAAACAGCTCCCAAAGATTCCCACCTTTTACAACTTTTCCCAGACCAAAGAAGCTCGGATAAAAATCAACAAAACTACAACCCAAGAAAAAAAAACGCAGAGAGGAAAAAAAAGAGATGGAGAGAGAGAGAGAGAGAATTCAGAAGAGCAATAGTTTCATGTAAGTGATGTGAGACAGACAGAAAGAGAGAGAGGGAAAGGAGAAGAGAAGAAAGGCAAAAAGAGATAGGTGGTGGAAAGAAAGAAAGGAGGGGACCTCGTTTGGGATAGATAACCCAAATTAATTATTTTTTTTTCAACCGTGGTCAAATTTCCTTTCTCTTTAACCAGCATTTGCGAAACCGGCAATAGACGGTGACCGCACTGGCTTCGGAACCGGGTGCAGCCGGTGTGGTGAAGACAGTGTCTGAAGGGGGACAATATCAGTAATAAAAAAGGCGGCTTGAAGAGGGTTTAACTAACGGCGAGGTAGAGTGTCGAGATGGGATTGGGTGGGGGCAAAGTAACGGCGTTTGTCTGACGACGTTAGTGGGGGTGGAGGGGAAAGTTGTTCGGTTTTTATGGGGAAGTGGTCTTGTCGTGGTAGTAACGAGCAGATTATTATGGGGGGGGTTTTGAACCGTGGTTAAAATTAACCATGGTTACTTTATTGGGTCGGGGGAAGTAAGTTAAGTGTGCGAGTGTGTGTACTTTGAGTCATTGTGCTTTCGTGTGCCCGGATGGCATGACACCATACGTTCCGTGCCATTTGCCTATTTGTGCCTATTTAGACGTATGCTACCCCATCTCTTATTTTATTACTTTCTCACCACCCCCATACTGTTTGGAATTTATTCTTTTACTTATCTTTTTTATCTTTTTTGTTTTTTTTTTCCTTTCCTTCTCTTTTTTTTTCAAGGATTTTTTGTTATATTTGGTGGAAAATTTGTGGAATCTTTATCTTGGATAGTTTTACTGCATGATCGGATTGGTTACACATTTTTCTTTCACCATTAACGAGATTTGATTATTCTATCACTCATTCATTCATATTTTTTAACAAGTCGTTGGCAGTTATCGTATACTGTTATCAATTCTATTGAAAGTAGCTCGGTATACAAGTTCAAAAAATAAATACTCAGTAATGTCTCGCATGACGTATGTGATCGAGTAATATAGATGATGTACAGTAGTTTAATGCGTCGTTCGTTAAGTTGTAGTACTGAGTTTTAAAAGTTTTTATATTTTGACTATCTAGGGTCGTATGTCGATTTAATAATAGAAAGATATAGTTAAACAAACAATTTGATATCTACAAACACAACTATTTAATTTATAGAGTCGTAAAAGTTTCTATATCTTGACTATCTAAGGTTGTGTGTCGATTTATCTCATACAAGAATCGTACCAACAGAGGGTTATACCTGATAAAAATACTCAGTGAGAGTGTAAGAATAACAAAAAATTTTAATCTTTCTCTATAGTCTAAAACATTACAACAACAAATAGTTTGTTTTGGAATAAATGAAGTATATTTATTTATGGATTATAAATTAGTAAACTACAAAGAAGTTATCAAAATTTCAGAACTCAAAACTTTTAACCAAGTTTTTCCCCCCTCCTTTTCTTGGGTTACCTATATTTCAATTTTGCTAAGTGGAGCCTCAAAATCGCTAAAATGTGATTAAAGTTACTTTTACCATATGTATGTCGAAGCGGAATTTTGGTTTAGCCAAATGTAGCCGAATATAGTATGGAAAAGCAAATCTCAACTACAAATCTTTCTTTGCAAGTGATTTTTGTCTGTTTTTGCGTTTACAAGTGTTAAACTGTTATCATTTTGCTCATATCGGTTGTTGTACATTTCAATCACAATATCATTTTCCTCATTTTTGCTTTTATTTCTTGATCGATCTCATAGAGTGGGCTCGAGAAAAAAGAGAAATAGACTAAATGAAAGGGAAACATTTTTTTAAAAAAAAAAAATTAAAATACACGGACTATAAAAACATCAAGCAACAATTGACAAATAAACTTCTTTTAGTTAGTGATTGACAACTAAAATTTAGTTGAGCAAATCAAATGATTTTGCTCTCCCGCAAATGCTTGGCATGTAATTGTGCGACATCATGAACGACTAGATTAAAGAACAAGAATATATTCCAAGACGGGCTCTAAAGTTAATTTAGAGAGTTAATTATAAAATTATTTAAATTTGTACTTCAGTTCTTAATGTAAGACATTTTGATTTGTCATATGTTTCACCTAATATGCACTTCTAATTGACAAAAAAATCTTAAAAATATTTTCTAACAATCAAGAGAACACAAAAAATGTAAAACTATATTTTTAAAAAAATTTTCAATTAAAAATACATACTAAGTGAAACATATGACAAATCAGAATGGTTTATACTAAAGACTGGAGGGAGTATTTTTTAATGAATGTAGCATTAGGAAAAAAAGTCTCATTAGTAAATCACACAAAGCAAATGCAAGAGGGGATGAAAATTACGGTTATGAATTGTCAAGTATCCCACTTAAATTATCATCATTTCACGTCCATTTCTATGGAAAAAAATTGACAAGGAAGCATCAACCAACGTCTCATTTTGGGGATGTTAACGAGGCAAATCCTAATTGCATCACAAAAAGAGTAAAAGACCCCTGACGCATCATCATTTGAAACGTAAATTAACTGTCATTAACACTCAACTTATCCCTTCAAGTAAAAGTAATAAAAGAATTTACAAATCTTTTGCAAGTTCAAATACTCATAATGACCAAACACATTTTCAGCGGACTTTTGCTCAGAAATTTCACTCCAAAAATAAAGTCAGAGATGCTGAGTCCGCCATAATAATTCTTTGATTCACTTGTAAATTATTAATGAATCTTTTTTTTTTTTTTACCAACTGCTAAGAGAAGGAAAGGAAATAAATAAATAAATAAAAGAAACCATATAAAGTCTATAAATAGGTGAATAAAACAAAGCTATCCATTATATATAGGCAATGTGAGTGATACACATGATAAAAATCGAGAATCATGTAGAACGTGTTTAATTACTTGGATCGAAACGGAATGTGGTACTTTGTTCTAGCTTGTTCTTTCAGTTTTAGTTTCAGAGTGAAAAGTAAATAAAATTGTTGGGTTTCACTCTTTTTTTTAAAAAAAAAATTCAAAATAAATTTTATTATAACTTTTTTTGTTTTTGTTTTGGGCAACTTTAGTATTCAGTCAATTAATTATAGGCATTATTACACCGACTAAAAATAAGATTAATCCGTACCCAAGATATATACATACCTCAGAAGTTAATCATACTATTTTCGTCTAAAAAAACTAGTCCATATTGAGCTTTTAGATGTATATTAAAAACAGTATAAAACTCAAACGTCAATGTGAACTATTTTTTGAGACGGAGGGAATTCGATATTGGTTTGCCGGGGAAATGAATATGGACACATGATTTTACATTTACCAGCAAAATGCATCTTTGACCCAAGAGGAACAGAAAAAAGGGGGAAATATTATTGGTCAGGAAGTAAAAGGTGAAAAGTGAAAAATAAAACAGCCAAACACTACCCCCCGGCAATTTTCTATGCAGAAACAGTGATGGTATTTATTTACCATCAGATTTATGTGATTAATTTTGTTTTTGTGCAACTCGTGAGAAAGATCAAAACAAGGAAGTGACATTTCATCCACTTTCTGTTTTTTTCCCCCCAAGTCCTAAAATTTTCCAACATGTGTTTGCTCTTTTCTGGCTCTACTTTTTGTTTTTTCCTAGCTTTGCCCTTTTATATATTTACTACTTGATCCTTCTACTTTCATGTCAGGATTTTGCCATTGCCAAAAGAACACCATTTGAATCAAGGTAAAATACTAGGGAAATGCCGTATTTCGATCGACTATATAGGCTATAATAGGAGGGGAAGAAAATACAGCAAAACATCGCTGAATTAATAATCTCAAAATTAATTCTGAATAATTTATAAATTTTTTTTGACGTCCTAACTTGGGACCCTTACAAAAAAAAATGAATAAAATTAATAAAATATAAGATGATAACTATAAATTAATTCTATAAATTGATATTTACCATAAATCAATAAATTCATAATAATATTTAGTAAAATATGAATATTGAGAAGAGTTTCAATACTTGCTTGATTCACGTAGTAAAAATATTTGAAAATTAAGTAATTTAGTAAGTGTCAATTAATAATTTATTAATTTATTGATTATTCAATAATTCTATAAATTAATGAATTCTAGTAGTCCTAACACTATTAATTTATAGATAGAAGCTATAATGTATCTTAATTTGGGAGAATTTACCAAATAAAATTTGATACATTCAGTTAGGATTTGAATTATTTGAAATAGTGATTCAGGATAACACTTATGTAATATATGAAAAAAAAAAAGAAAGAAAAAATACCATTCATCAAATTATTAATTGCACTTTCTTTCTTACATCAACACTAAATAAATTTTGATCTAGGGAAACGGATTTTTTTCCTAATATTTTTAACATCTCAGTTCAAATCAAGCATAAATTAAATGAAAAATTGCTATTGATCCTTTCAAAATTCAACGTGAATATTTTCGTAGGACATAGAGAGTACTAATTCGGAAACTTCAATTCTTATGGTACTGTTATATTTTTAGTCTCAACAATTAAGGAAAAAGTTTGAAAATAGATGTGAAATATCACGAGATACAATTAGAATTCCGAGTGGTGGTGGTCACGCGAGGGGGAGGTACACGGGAGGGAGGTGCCGAACTGTGTATGGTATTTGCATTTCTTTTCAGTAATGGTCTCTCGTATCATTTTTCGTATTTTACATCGTGTAATATTACAATAATCGCGAATGAGGAATTGGTTCAGTAGTAACACCGCTCTTGCTCTAAAAAGAGGTCATGTGTTTAATCTTTCACTCAAACAAAAAGTGAGGGGTTGGCTCTCACCTTATTTATTGGCACCTACACTAATGAACTCTCGATTTTGCATCCGAACTTGTCATCCCGAACATGTCTAGGGTGGTTTACCTTCCACTGTAGTTTACAGGCTATTGCAATGAGCGTAGGTTTACCCATCTCTGGCAGGTTCCCGACGTTATAAAAAAAAAAATAAAATTACAATAACCAAAAAAAAAAAACATATTTGAAAATAAAAAAATAATATTTTCATATACATATATATGTATAAATTTTTAGAATTAAAGTAAACCCTTTTTCACTAGATTACCCTAACCCAAAAAAATATCATTACGATATTCTTTATAAAATATTATAGAGGATCGTTTGTTATTTTTTTCTTTCATTGTTTTTCGTCTTAAAAAAGGGTCCCAAATTGTTGAGTTGTCCAAAATAAACACAGTTGTATTATTATTGTTGTGTATGATGTAAAAGCAACAAAAAGAGGAATCTTTGTCCCGGAAATGAAGAAGCTTTAATTAGAAGGCTTTGGCCGATTTTAATTTTTTGCGTCTCTATTCGTATTCTATCCCTTTCGTCTTTATGTGTAACTGTATGTCTCTGCACAAGCAAAGCACACA